GGAGACAAAAGACCTGTATGCAGAAAACTATAAGACACTGATGAAAAAAATTAAAGGTGATACAAACAGATGGAGAGATATACCATGTTCTTGGACTGGAAGAATCAACATTGTGAAAATGACTATATTACCCAAAGCAATCTACAGATTCAGTGCAATCCCTATCAAACTACCAATGGCACTTTTCACAGAACTAGGACAAAAAATTCACAATTTGTATGGAAACACAGAAGACCCCGAATAGCCAAAACAATATTGAGAAAGAAAAACGGACCTGGAGGAATCAGGCTCCCGGACTTTAGACTATACCACAAAGCTACAGTAATCAAGACAGTATGGTACTGGCACAAAAACAAGTATAGATCAATGGAAAAGGGTAGAAAGCCCAGAGATAAACCCATGTACATGTGGTTACCTTATCGTTGATAACGGAGGCAAGAATATACAATGGAGAAAAGACAGCCTCTTTAATAAATGGTGCTGGGCAAACTGGACAGCTACATGGAAAAGAATGAAATTAGAACACTCCCTAACACCATATACAAAAATAAACTCAAAATGGATTAAACACCTAAATGTAAGCCCAGACAATATAAAACTCCTACAGGAAAACATAGGCAGAACACTCTATGACAGCAAGATCCTTTTTGACCCACCTCCTAGAGAAATGGAAATAAAAACAAAAATAAACAAAGGGACCTAATGAAACTTCAAAGCTTTTGCACAGCAAAGGAAACCATAAACAAGACGAAGAGACACCCCTCAGAATGGGAGAAAATATTTGCAAATGAAGCAATTGACAAAGGATTAATCTCCAAAATATACAAGCAGCTCATGCAGCTCAATATCAAAAGAACAAATAACCCAATCCAAAAATGGGCAGAAGACCTAAACAGACATTTCTCCCAAGAAGATATACAGATTGCCAACAAAACACATGAAAAGATGCTCAACATCACTAATCATTAGAGAAATGCAAATCAAAACTACAATGAGGTATCACCTCACACCGGTCAGAATGGCCATCATCAAAACATCTACAAAAAATAACTGCTGGAGAGGCTGTGGAGAAAAGGGAACCCTCTTGCACTGTTGGTGGGAATGTAAATTGATACAGCCACTATGGAGAACAGTATGGAGGTTTCTTAAAAAACTAAAATTAGAACTACCATATGACCCAGCAATCCCACTACTGGGCATATACCCTGAGAAAACCATAATTCAAAAAGAGTCATGTACCACAATGTTCACTGAAGCACTATTTACAGTAGCCAGGACATGGAAGTAACCTAAGTGTCCACTGACAGATGAATGGCTAAAGAAGATGTGGCACATATATACAATGGAATATTACTCAGCCATAAAAAGAAACAAAATTGAGTTATTTGTGGTGAGGTGGATGGACCCAGAATCTGTCCTACAGAGTGAAGTCAGAAAGAGAAAAGCAAATACCGTATACTAACACATATATATTTAATCTAAAAAAAAATACAAAACGGTTCTGAAGAATCTAGGGACAGGACAGGAATAAAGACGCAGACGTACAGAATGGACTTGAGGACACAGGGAGGGGGAAGGGTAAGCTGAGATGAAGTGAGAGAGTGGCATTGACATATATACACTACCAAATGTAAAACAGATAGCAAGTGGGAAGCAGCTGCATAGCACAGGGAGATCAGGCCATGCATGCTTTGTTACCACCTAGAGGGGTGGGATAGGGAGGTTGGGAGGGAGACGCAAGAGGGAGGGGATATGGGGATATATGTATACGTATAGCTGATTCACTTTGTTATACAGCAGCAACTAACACAACAATGTAAAGCAATTATGCTCCAATAAAGATGTTAAAAAAAAAGTCATAGATAAAACTTACTGAAATTATTTCTTACAATTCTTTAAACAGGCATTTAAAATTGTTACTGTTGATTATATTCAGAGAAATAGGACAGATACTCTATTTGCATAACTTTTGCTCTCAGTTTGGAACATGAACAACAAAATGCCGTGATTAATGATTTTTACTATTCTTTTTGTTTTCCTGCAGATAGTTGGCATAAAAATGGGCTATCAAGCACATCAAGTTGAAGTTAGCAGGAATAAAATACATCAAAATCCTTAAGTTGAGTCAACTACAGAGTCAGAATATGATACTCCACTGGACAAATTTGCATCCAATTTTGGGGGGCAATTTTTGGTCATCAAAATAAGTGCATTTCCCATTAAGTTGGCAATAAAGCTTGAGGGAGAAAGATCATATTGTTTACTGTAAAACTGATACGGTAAAGATTATATGAGATCACATGTATAGATACAGATATGTAAACTGTGATGGGATTTCAAATAACAGAATAATTATGAATTTCAAATTTTCGTTTATATGCAATAAAAGTTAATAGTACAGTATAGATCCAAATCTCTAGGCCATAGGCAGATAACCTGCTGTTAACATCAGTGATTGGAATTTTGTTTAAATAATAGCTATATAATTAGGACCACATTGCCTGACAAATGTCTGGCACATACAGCTTCCTAGGTTTCACACACCTTGGAGAGAAAGAAGGAAACATCTAACAAAAGCTGATAATAGCCAAAACAATGTGGAACAATAAGACCTTCCTTCCTCCCTCCCTCTCTTCCTTCCTTCCATTCTTCCATTTATTTTTTTGTCTCTACGTTGGAGAATATGTGTTAAGTGGGCTCTCTGATGTCTTGCCTTGAGGCTCATTTTATGCTTCTAAAACTGAATAATGGGATGGCACACCAGACTGCAGTGGGGAATTTTCCTTTGTAATCAGAGCTCTGAGGAGATATGTTATACTGTATCATATTAGAAAAATTAAAAAGGTCATCCATGCCTTTCCCGACTATTCTGTTCTCCCTTAGTGGGCAAGAGTCGAATTTCCTGAGGAAGGATGCTCTCTGTCAGGCAGACAACCCAATGCCCAACCAAAATAAATGAATAAACAGATTAGCTAATTAATTAATTTAAAATAAAGAAATAAATCAAAGGCTCCACTTTGCTACTTTATCCCAGACTGCCTTTCAACCTTAAACACCAGACTCTGCCTGGGGATCTCAAGCCCTCTTTAGGTGGTTTTTCAAGAGCTGCTTCCGTAACACTAGGCCTGACGTTAAATGTTACGTGGCTGGTTAGAGACTGAAAAATCATCAAGCTGTAAAAGTCTATGTTGTTGCTGAGACTCCAGAGGACTAAGCAGTATTGGATAATAAACTCAAGTTGTATGAGAATTGGAACATTACAAAGCATTACAACATGAAATTCTAATTTATTTGAATCAACACATATATGATTATTCACAAAATAACCTCTCTCATGAGTGTTATTTTGTTTCTAGAGACCTTTGGAATCATTCTTATGTAGAAAGTTCATAGGTGTGATGTACACAATTTATTGTTTCTGCTGGTGTTACTACTGTTGACCTGTTACTTATTCTCATCATATTTTCCATGTACATTTTTGCAAATATAAATGTAAAGTTCACGTATTCTCAAAATTGTTAAAAATATACTGAATACATTTTCTTTCTTCATGCGACTTCCAAAAAAAAAAAGGAAAGAGAAATTAACACAACATTGTAAATCAACTATACTTCAAGAAAATAAAAAAATAAAAGAAAGTAACAAAAGAAAATGTGATTGACACAGAGGTTTCTAGCTTGGGAAACTCAAAAGCCATATACTGAGATAAGGGCTACAGGGAAATTACTTCTGGTGAGAAAAATAAGGACTCTGCTTTGGACATAGGGAACTTGAGATTCCTGCAGTAAGCTTAGAGAAAAGTATCTAAAAACCAGTTGGACATACTTGTTTGGAGCTCAGCAAAGAAATGTGGGCTAGAAATATAGACATGGGAGCCATGAGCATCTGACCAGTGCTCATGTGTGCTCCCCCAGGGGAAGACACATTAGAATAAACTATTAAGTTTTTTTTTAATTAATTATTATTATATATTTTTTTACGTTTGGCTGCACTGGGCCTTCATTGCTGTGTACGTGCTTTCTCTAGTTGCGGCAAGCAGGGGCTACTCTTTGTTGCGGTGCACAGGCTTCTCATTGTGGTGGCTTCTCTTGCTGCGGAGCACGGGCTCTAGGCACGCAGGCTTCAGTAGTTGTGGCTCACGGGCTCTAGAGTGCAGGCTAAGTAGTTGTGGTGCATGGGCTTAGTTGCTCCACGGTATGTGGGATCTTCCCGGACCAGGGCTCAAACCCGTGTCCCCTGCATTGGCAGGCGGATTCTTAACCACTGGACCACCAGGGAAGTCCCAGAACTATTAAGTTTTGTATCTATATATGCCTAGGTCCCATGCCTGGAAATTCTAATTCAGAAGGTCTAGGTTGGAGCCCAGAAATCGCTAGTGTTTTAAAAGTTCCACAGGTGATTCTAATGAGCACTGGCTGAAACTCACTGATGCAAACAGTATTAAAGCTTCAGGACTGGATGAGAAATCTTAGTAACATTTTAGAGTGAGAAAAAAGGATAAAGACAGAATTAACACCGCAAGGCAAAGGGAAAAGAGCCAAAAGAAACTGAGAAAGAAAAAGCTAGAAAAACAGAAGACAACAAACCCCCTCGTAGAAAGTAAGCTCCGTAAAACTGGGGAATTACTGTTTCAAAAACCAATAAGCCGTGCTTCCCTGGTGGCGCAGTGGTTTGCAGTCCACCTGCCGATGCGGGAGACGCGGGTTCGTGCCCGGTCCGGGAAGATCCCACATGCCGCGGAGCGGCTGGGCCCGTGAGCCATGGCCGCTGAGCCTGCGCGTCCGGAGCCTGTGCTCCGCAACGGGAGGGGCCACAGCGGTGAGAGGCCCGCGTACAGCAAAAAAAAAAAAAGCAATAAGCCACAAACTTTTTATCTTTAGGGACCATATTTTATTTCACTTGACGTATGCAAAGTAATAGCTCTCAAAAGTAGTATTTAATTGAATATGTGTAACTTCATACTGAATCTGAAACAGGCCACACACTTAATTTCAACCTACCCTGTAAGGCCAAAGGAATAGCTTCAATCTGGATCTTTGTTGGCTTTGTCCATCCCAACTGGTCACAAGCTTCACACAACACATCTGTCACACCCTTAGAATTCGGAAAAACACAGTTTAGCAAAGGGAAACACACACTCACCTCCCACATAATTAAATGACTGTTAGGGCCGCCTTGCTGGCGACATGTGCGTCCCCTACGCTTTCATTCAAAAGGTTTTTGTTGTGAGTCTACCCAGTCTTCTCCTTAACTCTGAGAACTGGGACAGGAACTTAAGACTTACCAATCACTCTCCACTCGCCGGGGCCAAAGCCAAGTTCTTTGCCTGTGTTACTTCATTTAATCTAAACAGCTCTATGCGGTACTTATCATAATCCCCAATTTACAGATGTGGAAAGTGAGGCACCGAGATAACTTGCCTCTAGTCAGTGACTGGGTCAGAATTCAATACCGGTTCATCTGAATCCAAAGCCCAAAGATGCACAAAATTCGGATTCGCCGCATGGACAACACCCTGCACAGACACAACGCTGCCACACCGAGGTGGAATTCAAAAGGGTAAATGGGGGCTCCCGGGCACCGGCCGCCCTCCCACTACCCAAACTCAAAGCTGAGGGAGCTCGTCCGGAACCCGAGCTTCGGACACCCCGGGGGAAACCTGAGCTAGGCCCCGGCTGTTTTTTGCACACCAGCGGCCTGTATCGAAGGCAACCGGACTCTGCCCGCGCCTGGCGCCAGTAGGAAAAAGGGAAACCGGCGTCATCTACACTTACCAGGTCTTTAAATGTTTTCGTTTCCGCCTCCTCCACCGCCATCTGGGGCACCTCAGCCGGTGAATCGCGCTCCTCGGACGCCGCCATGCTGTCCGCGGGCTCCGGAAGTGGGTCGGCGGCGCGCGGGATGCTGGGAAATGTAGTTCTCGTTCTCCCGGGTGGCGTGTTGTGGGCGCCCCCTGCGGGCTTGGAGGGGTTTCGCGGAAAAGCAGTTAAAAACAAAAATTAGGTATGGGTTTAAGGGTTTGGAGTTGCGGAGCTGAGCCAAGTGCAGAAGGGCCTGATGACCAGGACCTCTAATCTGCCCTTCAGGTCCCTTTAGAAAGTTTTCCCCACCTTTCACAACCGCTGTGCTCCTCCCTCTTCTAACCATAGAGTTTTGAACATGTTCATATTACAGTACTATTTATTTATTATAAATATTATTTCATTCATTTATTCAATAATATCTTGAGAGGGCTTCCCTGGTGGCGCAGTGGTTGAGAGTCCGCATGCCGATGCAGGGGATACGGGTTCGTGCCCGAGTCCGGGAAGATCCCACATGCCGCGGAGCGGCTGGGCCCGTGAGCCATGGCCGCTGAGCCTGCGCGTCCGGAGCCTGTGCTCCGCAACGGGAGAGGCCACAACAGTGAGAGGCCCGCGTACCGCAAAAAATAATAATAATAATAAATAAGTAAATAATAATACTTGAGAGCCTACCATATGCTAGGGCTATGCTAAATGCCTACTGAACAGGACAGCGACCTCTACCGTCATGGAGAAGACAGATGATAAATAAGTGATAAATAAATGATCACAGATCATTTCAATTTGTGGAAAGTGTGATGATGCAACAGATATAAAAATGATAGAGATTTGATTTGCATTTCTCTAATAATTAGCGATGTTGAGCATTTTACATGTGCCTGTTGGCCATCTGTATATCTTCTTTGGGGAAATGTCTATTTAGGTCTTTTGCCCATTTCTCGATTGGGTTTTTTGTTGAGTTGTATGAGCTGTTTGTAAATTTTGCATCATTTATATGTGGATCTAAAATATGACACAAATGGGGACTTCCCTGATGGACCAGTCGTAAAGAATCCGCCTTCCAACACAGGGGACGTGGGTTCCATCCCTGGGTCGGGAAACTAAGATCCCACGTGCCGTGGAGCAACTAAGCCCTCACGCCACAACTACTGAGCCCGAGCACCTCAACTAGAGAGCCCACGCGCCGCAGACTACAGAGCCCACGCGTTCTGGAGCCCATAACCAGAGAAAGAAAACCCGCACGCCACAACTAGAGAGAAGCCTGTGGTGCCGCAACGAAGATCTCGCGTGCCACAACTAAGACTGATGCAGCCAAAAATAATAAATAAATAAAATAAATAAACATTAAAAAAATATGACACAAACGAACTGAGCTACAAAACAGAAACAGGCTCACAGACATAGAGAACAGACTTATGGTTGCCAAAGGGGAGGGGGTTGGGGCAGGGATGGATTGGGAGTTTGGGGTTAGCAGATGCAAACTACTATATATAGAATGGATAAACAACAAGGTTCTACTGTATAGCACAGGGAACTGTATTCAATATCCTGTGATAAACAATAATGGAAAATAATATGAAAAAGAATGTATATATGTGTATAACTGAATCACTTTGGTGTACAGCAGAAATTAACAGAACCTCGTAAAACAGCTATACTTCAATAAAATAAAATTCTTTCAAATGATGGAGAGCAACTTGGGGGGGTGGATTATGGGGATAACAGCAAGATTGGGGAAGGCCTCTCTGAAGTAGTGATGTTTGAGCTGAGACGTCACTGGGAAGCAGAAGAAAGTTTCTTCAAGAACCCAGGGGACAATGATTTCAGGCTGAGGGAACAGCAAGTACAAAGGCCCTGAGGCTCAGGTCAGACCCTGCAGGGCCCTAGAGTCGAAGGTATGGGGATTGGATGTTATCCTAAATATGAAAGAGGCCACTGGAAGGTTTTGAGCAGGTGAGTGACATGATCTACATATTTAAAATATCACTCTAACTTTATATGCAGAGAGGAAATAATGAAAAAGAGAGGCCATCTAAGAGGCAAGAGATGATCTGCATACCCCCAGCCTGACACGAACTAGACACCCAGGAACCCCACCTGAATGAATTACAGCTCAGCGGAGCGTTGGGATCAGGCAGTGTGGCAGATCAGGAAGGACATCGCTGACTGTTTCTTTAGGGAATGAAGTTGTTTCCATCTTTGAGATTACACCACTGCAGAATAGGCCTTTTGTCTTTTTATGTTGATTTACTCCAAGTTAAAGGTAAGGAGAGAAGACACACATTGTATGAAACAAGAGGTCACCTTGAAATCGGCTCCGTCAGGCAGTCGGAAACAGGTGCTTACGCCGCGGCAGCCTAAGGTGCTCAGGCCCGCTGTTCAGCTCTCCCTCACGGCCACCTCTCCATTTTCCTAGGACCGGGATTAGGCCACTTTAGATGGTGTCCAAAGCAGATAACATGCTTTGAGATAAGAGGGAGTTGATTTATCCTAAAGAAAACCCACCCAAAAAGCTCTGTCTCTTCCTCTTCCTCTTGTGATAAAAACAAAATTCAACTGAGTATGAGACAGGCTGGGACCTGGGTGTCAGGAGCAAAAGCAGGGTACTACCCATGGTCCCTGCACACAGCACCACCAAGGGGGTGGGCAGGCCACCTAGGCCGCGCCTCTGACCCCACCCATGTATCCACCTCTACACTCACCCCATTTAAGGGACCAGCTCCACCGCTCCGGGGAGTGAGCAAGGGAACCTGTTACTTATTTTCACTCCCTTGTTCCCTCGTGCTGCAGCACGAGTCCCAATATAGCCTTCCCTGAATTTCGCATCTAGCCTCTTATCAATTTCTTCCCCACCCCCCACCCCCGGACCAGGAATCGAACCCACGCCCCCTGCAGTGGAAGCACGGAGTCTTAACCACTGCACCAGCAGGGAAGTCCCAGCCTCTTATCAATTTCTATTGATTAAGGAGTCCAAGAACCCTGGTCGGTAACAAGTCCATTTTAAAGATCTTACTGGCTTTATTCAGTGATTCATGAATTGGGCAGCATCCCATCTAGCAGATAGAAAGGAGCTCTAAAGAGTTATACAAAAGGGCAGGCTTTTATAGGCAGGAGGAGGTGGGACAAGGAAGTTGTTCTATCAAAGAGCTGATTGTTTCAGGCCAGGTCATCTTCCTTTGGGGCACAGTATGGGTCTATGAGGCCAGTTACCTCCCTAGTTCTGACCAGGTAATTCTAAAGTGACTGGTTAAGATTACTTTCCTGAAAGCATCTGAAATTGCAGTTAGGTTAGGTATTAAGTCTGGATTTGGTGACGTGGCCTTAGCATAAGTGACTCCATCTTGGGCCTGTTGTTTCTTTTTTTTAATAAATTTATTTATTTTTCGCTGCGTTGGGTCTTCATTGCTGCATGCAGGCTTTCACTAGTTGCGGTGAGCGGTGGCTACTCTTCGTTGCAGTGCGTGGACTTTTCATTGCGGTGGCTTCTCTCATTGCAGAGCACGGGTTCTAGGCACACGGGCTCCTGTAGTTGTGGCACGCAGGCTCAGTAGTTGTGGCTCGCTGGCTCTAGAGCGCAGGCTCATAGTTGTGGCTTACAGGCTTCGTTGCTCCGCGGCATGTGGGATCTTCCCGGGCGAGGGCTCGAACCCATGTCCCCTGCATTGGCAGGCAGATTCTTAACCACTGCGCCACCAGGGAAGTCCCTGTTGTTTCTTTTTTTAACACTGTCCTCTGCTTTGTAGACCTGCTGGGGAATCTGTGCTCCTTGTTTGACAAAGGTGGAACTTGAGTCCCAGAAGGTAAAAAGACATGTCACATGGCAAGGTAACAAGAGACAGGACTAGAACCCAGGCCTCTGGAGACCCAGACCAGTGCTTTTACTGAGAGAAACATCGCTTTACACAACAAGCAATTTCCCCTCCACAGTCACACTCGGAATTCCTCTGCCACACGGATTTTTCTGTAAAAACAAAGAGAGAAGGACTTACTTTGCTTCCCTTAGGCTCACACTCTGATTTCATGTAGGAGAGTGGAATGGGAATTAAAAGTGCTGGGAAAAGGTGAACGACTCAATCGTAAAATTCAGGGAAGCAGAGCGAAGAGGCCTGGAAAAGGGGACCCAGATGGAAACAATTGGGAGGACTATAAAACTGTGTATAATACCGGGTCTAAAGTTACCCAAGTTTTGGTAAAATGTGTTACAGGAACGAAAAAAGAATTAGGCCTAAGATTTCTGGGACTCTGGGGCTGCTCTAAAGGGAAACTGATTTAAACCACCAAGCTGCTATTATAACAGCAAACACTGCTCATTTTCGCCAGGAAAAAGTTCTTCTGTGTGTTCTTGGATAATCAGACATGGGCTCCTTTTCAAACTTCCTCTGGTGTCAGTGCCCACCTCGGTGACAGGATTCACGTCAGACTAGCAGGGTAAGCACAGGCGGATTCCAGCGGAGAGGACTGTCTGCTTTTGACTATTCCTACCAAGTCTGGAGTAGTTTGGACATTTACGTTCTGGTCGTGGAAATAATAGAGGTCCATTCTAGTAACTGAACCATGTCATATCCTGTACTTGCAGAACAATGAGAAAGGTTAAAGAGGAAATCCAAATAAACATTCAAAGTAAGGGGCAAAGCAGGCCTGAAACAATACACTGGCCCCAGAAGGAGAGGTCAAAGTGACTGACCCCATCTCCCTCTGAAAGGTTTTTTTTTTTTTAATTTCAATTTTTTTTATTGAAGTACAGTTGATTTACAATGTTGTATTAGTTTCAGGTGTACAACAAAGTGACTCATTTATACATATCATATTCCTTTTCAGATTCTTTTCCATTATAGGTTATTACAAGATACTGAATATGGTTCCCTGTGCTATACAGTAGGTCCTTGTTTATCTATTTTATATATAGTAGTGTGTATCTGTTAATCAACAAGTAACCATAACCCTCTGAAAGGTTTTCATAGGCCTTCATGTGCCCCTTCCTCCAAACACACAAAAATATCTAGTAAAAATTATAGTTTATGACTGCCTTAATATAAAGATAAATATATTAATATATATTAAAATATGTTCTTGGACTTAAAAGTTTATCTTTTTCTTTTGATTTTTT